ACAGCCCCAAAACATCACTGCTCTAGAGGAGATCTGCATGGAGGAATGGGCCAACATACCAGCAACAGTGTGTGCCAACCTTGTGAAGACGTACAGGACACGTTTGACCTCTGTCATTGCCAACAAAGGATATATAACAAAGTATTGAGATGACCTTTTGATATTGACCAAATACTTATTTTCCACCATAATTTGCAAATAAATTGGTTCCAAATCAGCCAATGTGATTTGTCTGGATTTGTTTTCTCATTTTGTCTCTCATAGTTGAGGTCTACCTATGATGCCAATTACAGGCCTCTCTCATCTTTTTAAGTGGGAGAACTTGCACAATTGGTGGCTGACTAAATACTTTTTTGCCCCACTGTATTTAAAGGAGAACTATGAGGTTAGGGCTTTTCCCCATAGTTCTCCTAAGTTCTCCACAAACTAGCGTCCTCCCGTCACCCAAAGCTTAGTATACCGCGAGCTTTAGCTCGCGGTATACTGAGACGCCGCAGCCGGAACGGATCCCGACAATTATGTGTTCGCTCACTTCCCGATCTACTGAGCCGACCTGTGACAGTTTCATTGTCACAGGTCAGGTCAGATTATGAGGCTGAGTGCAAATCACTCGCCTCATAATTCTCCTTTTGAAAAAAAAAATTTGTCTTTTAATTTAATTTTTTTAAACACTTTTTTTAATGTATTTTTTTTATTTTAACCCTTTCGCTGCCAAGCCCTCCGGAACATTTTTCAAATCAGCTGGCCAAGCCATTTTTGAATTTTCTGCAATATTTTCCTATTGATTTGATTTTCAACTGCTGGGTTGCTAGCGTTTGTAAAAGACCCCCCAAACCATATATTTTCTGAAAGCGCAGGCCCGGTAGAATAAAAAGATGGTGATACTAAATTTGTAGGCCCTGCGATAATTGCGCAAATGTTTCTCAAATTAATATTAAACCGATAAAAATACACAATTCAATTGTTAAAACACACCAAAAGCAGTATCCGTGAACAAAAAAAAATATTTTCTGACTAAATCTAAGATAAAACTTTTATTTATTTAATTGCAACACAAGGTATCACAATGCGTCACAAAGCTTTGCCATGCGCTGCCACAGTTAATTTAATGGTTTTTTTTAAAAAGAAAAAAATAAATTAAAAAGATCATGCACTGCAATGCGTTCTAACAACGCACTGCAGCGCATGTGCATGGTGTGCACCACAATATGTGTATGTTATGTGGGGGGAGGGAGGGGTTGTGCTTTTTTTTATTAGTTTTTTTTGTACACATTTTTATTTTTTTATTACATTTTCTATTTATTTTTTAATTATTTTATTTTTTTACTTTTGGGGGGGCTACGGTGAAAGTCTAAATAGACCCCTGACATTTCCCTTTTGAAATAGAAAAAGAAATTAACTACAGAGTGAGAGTCATCCAAAAACTCACAGGATGACAGCGACTCCGATCACTATACCGCTCGGCCATCCTGAATTGCCAGCCAAAATCAGCAGAGGAGGGGCCTGAAGGAGAAAGCTCTCTATCAGGTCCTCCCATGCTGATTGATATCAGACAGTGGGCGGGTGCAATAGCTAGCCTGCTATTGGCTATTGCATTTTACAATATCCAATAGCAGGCTGGGTATGGCTCCCAGCCTGCAGATGAAGAGGAGGCAGGGGGGCGGGGCAGAGGAGAAGCGGCCAAACCGGGGGAGCGTCGGACCGGGGGAAGAGGAGCCGACGGACCGGAGGAAGTGGAGCGGACGAACCCCCCATCTGCAGCGCTGGTCCTGAGCTCTGCTGTGCCCGGTGCGGGACCAGGACGAGTAGCTTTGTGACAGGGGATCAGAGGGACATCAGTACACGATCTACCTCTGGTGTCAGAATGCAGGAAGTTATGTATATTACATCACTTCCGCATTTTGTTGTCACTCTCCGGCTTCAGAAGCTGGAGAGAAGCTGATGAAGCAGACCTATGCTTCATCAGATCCTTTGGGGGTCCCTAGATGACATTAGGGGTCTTAAAGACGCCTGATGTCTCCACAAAGAGGACCTATCACCCCCTCTATGCTATCACATAGGGGGATTTTTAGCGCCCTATGCGATAACAATAAAGTTAAGTGAAAAAGAGTTTTAAAAAATTATAGTTGCAGAAAAAAAAAGATTAAAGTCACACATAAAAAGAATTCAAATAAAAAAAAAAAAGATTTTAAAATCCCCACATGCGTCGAGTGTGCATACGTCTAAAAACAACAATTGCGCCCATTACTCCGCACATGTTATATATCACGGCGAACGTAAGAGCGTGAACAACAATTTCAGTGGCCATTATTCACTGATAACACTAAACTGATAAGCGGTAAAAGCTTTTAAAGCATCGCCTATGGCCAATTTTGGGTATGGTAGCTTTTTGCGATTTTGGGGTGAATGCAATTTTAAGGCTTGACATGTTTGGTGTCTATTCAACCAACGTTACCACGTCTTTTATAGTTTGCCAAAACATTGGGTAATAATAAATATACTATAACAATGTAAAAAAAATGTTTTTCTTTCTAAAATCTCAGTTGTGATTAAATAACACCACACAAAAGCTCTATGTGTCCTCAAAAAATGGTATAAAATGTATTTCAGTACAGCGTTGCATGACTGAATAAATGTCAGTCAAAGTACCACAGCGCTGAAAACTGAAAAATGGCCTGGCCAGGAAGGGGTGTAAACGTCTTTCAGTGGTTAAAACAGTTTGGTTTTAAACCTACTCAACATTGGTATACACAGCATTTTTTTCCATAAAAAAAAAAGATGTACAAATCTCATGGCAACAAACAATTTTCCTGATACAAGCTCATTTAGTTCTACACCGAGTCTTCTAAAAGCCAAGTTTGCATTAACACTTATGTACCTTCCAGGCAGCTTCCGTCCTTACATTCTTTTATTGTGCAGCAACATCCTTGTGCACAGACTAAAGTACTGACAAAGGTAAGGTGTAAAGAAAATAGCTCACCTGGGATTTATGAATAACATGATTTGCCTCCAGCTGGATAGCAAACTTCACGCCTAGTTCAGAGGAAAATGATCCCATTGGAGATAAGGTGCCTGATGTCAGGACAATTGTGCGAACATTACCACTTAAATCGGAAAAAGCCTAACAAGACAGAGGAATGGGTTTTTATATTATTACATGCAACATTTAACATTGCAGACAAAAACATATGCATGTTACTGATTTGTAGATGTGTTGCCATGAGGCAGCATAAGCAGTGAGGCAGGAAATCAACTACAGGACAGCTCACACCAATAGCCTTTAAATTGTGTTTACTATTGATTTACTGCAACTAATTACTCTGCAGGTTAATTTTCAAAACACTTCACAATTAATACCTATAAAAAAAACAATTAAACATATAGACTAATATAAATGTAACCACAGTGCAATGAAGAACTGTATATAATAATAATAATTTTAAAAAAACTTCCTACACTTCCACATTACAACAAGAGTTAATAAGAGAACTGTTTAAAAAAGGGCTTAGGCAAGACAGAGATAACTTATTTTACTGCCTCAGTCAATTTATTCATGAACTAAATGGACAGGCAATCACAAACAAGGGAACCATAATATGTTTAGCTTTACAGCAGCTTTGGTAAGCCTTCAAGATGCTAAACCTCTAAAGCCCCACAAAAAAGGCACTGGTTCAATTTCTCCACAAAAAGCCACCAGTAAAATCTGTTCCTTGGAGTACAGTACAGGACACAGGCAGATTCAGATACAACTAAAGGTGGCCATACACTTTACAACCATCGCAAGATCTTAGTCTTGCGATGGTTGTAAAGGGGCGGGCTTCCGATGACCGCAATGCTGAACGGGCAGTGTGCGCGTGCGCACACCGGCCCGTGCGGGATTGATCTTACGATCATGCTAAAAACCAGCCGAAAATCGTACGATTCTCGGCTGGTTTTCTAGCATGCTCCTTAGACAAAAGACGTGCGACCGTACAGTAGAAACGGTCGCACGTCTTCCATACACTTTGCGATTATCGTACGATCGCGGGATTTCCCACGACTATCGTGCGATAATCGCACAGTGTATGGGCACCTTAAGTAATATGCAGGTATCATCAGGTCATGGGCCAAAGCTGTGCTGTAGGACCCCATATATTCCCACCCACTCCAGTAAACCCTCAGTTATATTTCAAGCAGTAAAGGATATAGAGGGGAGGGTCATGTGTTCTGTACTGTACTCTAAGAAAAGGGTTTTACTGGTAAGTCAAAAATCCTATTCTTTTAGTACAGTACATGGCGCAGGCAGATTCAAAGTCAACTTGGACGTTCCAAACCAACAGAACAGAGGGGTAGGCCACACAGCAAAACAACTGCCAATAGGGCCATATAACAGAACAAAGGGCAAACCCAAACTCAGATAGCAGCCTGCAGCACCTTATGGCCAAAACAAGCAGATGCCCAAACATCCACCTGTAAGAACCTATCAACAGAAAACCAGGTGGCAGCCTAGCACATTTGCCATGCTTTTGCTTAATGGCAAAATTCCCAAGAGGCACTGACAGATCTAGTAGAATGTGCCCTACCATTTTCATAGTAAGTCTGCAGAATATTGTTTTCGAACCACCGAGAAATGGTGGAATGAGAGACAGGGAGCCCCCGCAGCAAGATCTACATGTACAGCATGAACCACATCCAAACAATGGCACAACACTTCCCTAAGATGCTTAGAAGCAGGACAAAAAGGGAAGAACAAAGATGAAAAGAGGATCTTAGGCAAAAAGGAATCCCTTGGTTTAAAGACCCCCTTTTTCTGTTGGAGAACAAAAAAAGTACTTTATATGACAGAGGCCCAAAATCTCCTAGAGGAAATAATAGCGACCAGGAAAACTACTTTGCACTTACAAATATCCTTGATAGGCTAAAGGGAGCACGCTGAAGGGGTGAAAGGACCAGATCGAGATCCCAAGGAGTCACTGGAGGATGTCTAGGAGGAGCAACATGAGCGATCCCCCTAAAGAAAAATCCTTAACAGAATATGACAGCCCCCTTTCCCTCATGATCTGGGCTTTAACAGCCATGTTGTGAGAGCTAGCGAATGAGAAGCAGGATGGAACACTGGGCCTTAATACAGGAGGTCCGGATGGTCTGGAAGCAGCCATGGGGAGTCCACCAACATGTGAAGGACATCCAAGTACCACACTCTTTTGGGCCAGTTGGGGGTCATCTGGACAACTGAAATACTTTCTGTCTCCATTCTGCAAAGAAGACAAGGAAGGATCTTCAAGGAGGAAATATATAGATCAGGGAAAACTGATCCCATGGAGCCACCATAGCAACCACCATGAAGACTCTCAGGTCCCTGGACCCAAGCATGCCCAGCTTGCAGCTGAATGTGGATGCCAGGAGATCTTTGATTGATATCCTGCAACGGCAGCAAATCTCCTGAAACACCTCGGGGATTAGGGTTCATTCCCCTAGGATCTGGTCGCTGCCAACTGACAAAGTCTTCCTGCCCAGGCTGGTGCCCAAAGCTAATTCCATGGGTCACCAATCCAGATTGTCGGAGTCATTGCCGTGGCTAAACGCAGCCAGGAGCACTTGAAGAATCACAGAAAACAAGGTAAGAAAAATTAGAAACAGCTACCTTGGTAGAGAGGAGGCATGCATCACCTAAGGACACTAGCATGATCAATGACAATGTATAAATACATAAATGGTCCATATAGTGAGCTTGGTGCAAAATTATTCACTTTAAGGTCACTGCAAAAGGACAAGGGGCACTCTTTGCATCTGGAGGAAAAGAGGTTTAACCTTTAAATACGGAAAGGATTCTTCACAGTTAGAGCTGTGAAAATGTGGTATAGACTTCCCCAGGAGCTAGTTCTAGCTAGCTCAGTTAATTGTTTTAAAAAACATCTGGATGTATTATTAAATGCACAGAATATTACTGGATATGGAGTTCTTATAGGTATATTAAGCATCAGAGATTGTTGATCCAGGGAATATCCGATTGCCTTATAGGATCAGGAAGGATTTTTTTTCCCCTGTTGGAGCACATAGAACCATGTTTTATAGGGTAGGGGGTTTTTTTTGCCTTCCTCTGGATCAACAAGGGGTAGCTGTGGGCATAGCGTTCTGTTTAGCCTTTTCTTCTCTTTTTCTCTATAGGTTGAACTCGATTGTCTTTTTTTCAACCTGACTAACTATGTAGCAAAAAACTGAGGATTTCTTGCAGTGGGAGGGGTTATATGGGATCCTACAGCTCTGGCCAGTGACCACATACCTGATGATACCTGCAAATAACCCAGTCGTTTCTGAATCTGCCTGTGTTCTGTACTATAAGAGCAAGAAATAACAGTTTTACGTTTTTTAGGTCAGAGCTAAGATACTCTCCTAATGCCAAGGAAATGCTTTACCTCAAAGTGTATCTAAACCCAAAAACTAAAATTTTATATATTGCAGTATACCAGTCCTTAGCTGTATTATATTTCCCTTTATTTGGCATAGTGATTCAGCAATTAACACAATTTCTGTCCCTTCTACATTCATTTCTCCTTTGTATTTATAGAGGGAGCCATAGGTTTCACACAAGCTAAACTTCAAACATGTGTCCCTTTACATGGTGGATTGATGGATCTAGTAGCGAGCACAAAAAAGATAAGGAAGTTTGTGTCTTCTTTTCAGCTTAAAGAAACTGACAAGGACACTGCGTTTCTGGCAATGTCAACTGGTATTTTCTGTGCTTGCTAAAAATGTTCTTAGCCTGAAAAATAAACTAAATGCAGCCCCCACACTGAAGGATTGCTAACCTGCACTATATAACATTTTTGTTTTGGGGTTTAGATGCAATTTAAGGCAATCCTCCATTTTCTTAATCTTGCAGCTGAGCTTGAATACTTAATTCTCACACATAGGTAGCTCAGTGCCTCAGGGCAGCAGTTTCCAGTAAATATGACTCGTTGCCAAACCAGGCATCTCTCTAATTTTGCAGTCAAATCACCACAGTTCACATGGCATCCATATACAATGTAATTTTGTCTAGGCTGTAAATGCCATGCTAGAGCTCTGAGCAGAATTTGTCATGCATTGCTTTTCCGTTAGTATCCACTTTCTTAAACACTTTATTATTTATTTTATTTTGGAATCACTATATATTCTTTTTTTTAATTTGCAAAAAGTAAAAAAAACAGTATAGGTAGACAGTTTGAGGTATTAGAAGAAACTGAGTGCAAGTTACCACGGCAGGGTTTAAACACCAAAAATTCAGTGTATAAACCAAGGTCTTTTGACGAACACGTCTGCGATAATTTTGTCTTGCAAAGAATCCATTTTCATCAGCAACATCTTGTTTGTTTGTCCATATGTAAGACTGCTGCAGAGCAATTCTGTAATCTTCTGCAAATCTAAAGAAATAAGTATATGATTACTTCAACTGACAGAAAGAAATGCCCACACCAACAATTTAAAAATCTTCTGCAGTGGCTAACAATTTTGGTACGGAGGTAAGGTGGGTTTAATTCTTCAAAACCCACACAGTTCGGCAATTACATACAATAGGTGTATTAAACTGCTACATAACTGTTAGGGAGTATGGCACAATTACACCCCAGGGATTAGGCAGATATTTTTTCCTGATAAAACAATGAAAACCACACTTTTCAGCGCTGCACATCACTAATTGGAGCTACCAATCAAATGAATGGATTTTTCCATTTAGCTAAAAATGGGTAAACTTTTCCATTGATAAGAGATAGGGCAGGGAGACATTATACAAAATATATTGTCTCACTTTGCTCTTGAAGGCTATAGGGCCTATTAATAAAAATGCCCAAAACAACTGCTTTTATTACATTTAATTTTACCAAATTTTACAGAAAAATCTCTAAAGGTTATCCTCAGTTTATAAAATAAATTAACATGCTCAGCTCTCTTTCAGTGACATTTGTTAGACTCTAAGCTACCCTTATTAGACAGTTGCTATGCTCCAGGTATTTTCTTGGCGAATGGTCTAAAGGAGGCATGGCTGATGGTGCAGCAGGCAGTTAGAACCCCACTGAATGACACATTTTTGAGTGGTGAGAGTGCAAATTAGAGCACAGAAAAAAGGTAATCCCAAGGGGCCCAAATAATAGGAATTTGTACACACTGTAAAATCCTTTTTTTTTTTAGTCTATTGAGAAACACAGAAGTCTTTAACCTTTGGTTTATACTGCTGACTACAGAAGGAATGGAAAAGGGCAAACAGAAAAACTGTAGGTAGCTTAGGACTACCGTTTCTGCTACCTGCATGGCTTGTTTTTTTTTAGCAAAGCAGTACCAGGAACAAAATAACAAAACCACAGAGGGGTGGGATCTCTATGGATTCCACAAAAAGGATTTCAAGTTGAGCATACAAATCCTATTTTCTTTCTCATCCTGAGGGGTGGGCACCCAAAAATAAAATGCTAACAGACTTATGAAACAGAAAACTGGGGACTGCCTGCAGGTCAAAGAACTGACTAAAGGGGTTTCCACCTGAAACTTTAATAAAACCCCAGTGTTTTTGCAACAAAACATTGTATGTTGATCACTGTTAAATGTATGCAATCACCAAAAAGGGCGTTGATGTATTTGGTCTCTCAGAACTCGCAAGCCCTTTACCATTTTCTTTGGACTGAAAGATTTAGTTTCATTCGATAGCTGCAATGCTTGCTTTTTTATGTTCTGCTGCAGTTAAATGTGGAATGTGTTGCACAGTTATTATATATCTGGCACACATCACAGTGTAGTTGGGGAGCTAGGTTATTTAGCTTGGTTGCATCTTCTGTTTAGTTGTGATTACTTCAGATGTGTTCAGTATGTTGTAAATGTGGAAGAAAACTGAGCAACATATAGTTTAAAACTCAACAAAAACAGAGGTTATATTTAGTGAAACGCTGACATATGAACAAACCGCACTCACTCCATTTTCTCCCCACACTCCCCGTAACAAGTTAATTTACCAATGGTGAATTACCCCTAGAGGACGTTGGGTAAGCAGTACACATACATTCACAGCATTCCAAAATAATCCCTCATATGTGAAGTATATCCAAACAGGGATAAATATTTGCACCAAATATTCAATGCAAAAAATACTCTAATTCATATAAATGCAATTCCACAACACCAATTTACCCATAGGCACCTGAACTTTAAAAACATTAAAAACTCATACTCCTGCACGATACAAATATTTTGAAATGTAAACATGATTATTTTTCTCCCTATAAGTCCTATTATATCTAATTATCCCTTCCTCCTGGTGGAAAAGAAGTCCTTCTTAATGAAATTTGCTGTATTTATCGTATGTCTACAAAGGAGGCCTCCTTTAACAATAACAAATTTAATAATGTATTTATTGCGAGATAGAATTCATTGATTCCAGCCAAATGCCAAAAATTATGTTCTTCTTCGTTCCAGATTGTGCATATCAATTAATCCGAATGAAATTCAAATCCTGTTCCTGACTGCAATTTAGCCAGAAACCTTAGCAGTAGGGATGCGCCGAAACATATCGACCGAAAATGGCACTTTTTGCAAAATGGCGAAAGTGCAGTGCATCCAGTTTCTCTCCTCCAGCGCTGTGCGCTGCTCTGTGTCCCCTCTGACACAGCCCAGCATCCAGCAGGGAAGAGAGAAACTGTCAAAGGAGGCAGAGCAGTGCGGCACTGCCGGCTCACCCTCCTGCGAGTCAGGATGGAGAGCGGAGCACAAGCAGTCAGCTGATCGCTGACTGTTTGACAATAATTGGACATAGTATGAGTTGCTATGTGCCAGTAATGAATAAATTAGGAAGTGCTCTACATCACTTCCAGTTCATTCATGATTGTGCACATAGTAACTCATACTATATGCACAATCTATGAATGAACAGGAACACACGGTATAGAGGATTCCTGTTCATTTATAACAGGGGCTGCAGAAAAAGAGATTGTGGTCTCTGTGTCTTCAATCTCTTTAACCTATTTTAAAAGGGAAATATCAGGGGTCTGTATAGGCCCCTGATATTTCACTGTAGGCCGCAGAAGTAAAGTAAAAAAATATATATATGTATGTATGTATGTATGTATGTATGTATGTATGTATATATATATATATATATATATTTCCTGACACCCTACATGGCAGCATACAATGGGTATGGCTCCGCCCCCAGCTCAATCACAGGACCAGTTATACTATAAATTAAAGCCCGCCTCCCAAGGCCACCATTCTTTTTTCTGTCCTCACTGCTCAAGCCGGTTATACTAAGAATATGTTTGAGTGTTTGCCCTCACCTTGCTGGTTTCTTCTGGCCTGCCGCACAGGTTCAGCCTCTCCTATTGAGAAGTTCCCTTTGTTCAGGTGGCTAAATGCAATCTTAATAGGGAAGCCTTCCCCATAGCCTTTGAGTTGGGGTGGAGGAAATGGTCTCTTCATGTTCAGATGCTTCTTCCATCATGGCGGCGGGTTGAATACTTGCTTAACCTCCTGACCTTGTGACTCCAGAGAAGAACCGTGACTCAGCTGCATCATTCAGAAACTATGGTTGTAGTGCGATGATCACATGCATGGACAAGCTGTCAAGTAGGATCCACTCCATTTTCTTTCAATGTGTTTAAGAAATACATGTGCTACTATTTCCTATGGCCTTGCAGTGCTGCTTTGCTCTGGCTGAATCTTTCAGAATACCTGTTATGTCTGTAGAGCCATTCAGTTCTCCATGTGTGCTTAAACCTTACAGGTGCATTACAGGGAAGTATGTGATTCTGTGGCGCTGCTATGCCTTAGCTGAATCTTGCAGGTATTTGCCTCAAAAACATCCATTAGCCTGCTTGTGGTGCTTCACCCTGCAGGTGCTTGCTGAGTGCCGGCTGCTGCCATGTGCTCTGCTGCTAAAGCTTACTAGATCTTACAGAAATGTTTGTTTGCTAACTCTCTCAGCTTAAGGCCTGGTTCACACCTGTACGTTTTGTAGCGCGCTCAACACTCTACGAATGCTCTACAAAACGCTCAAACATGAAAATCCCATTGTTTTCTATGGGTATGGTTCACACCTTGCCGTATTTCAGCCCGTTTAAACACGCTACAAAGCGGCCTACGCCTGAAAAGGTACATGAGCTTCTTTGCGGCGTTTTTGTCGCACGTTTCCATTGGGATACAGCCAAGTAGCCCTCGGAAACACGCGAATCGCGGTAAAAACGCATATCACGTCACACGCGCATATTCGATACGCCTAGGCGTGAACAGAGCCTCAATCTTGAGCCTTAACTCTTTGGGTGCCTTTCATGTGAGTATTTTGCTGTCACCTGTGGTTCCCCAAGCATTGTTAATGTTTAAATGTAACGTATGGTATTGTTGCTTCTTGCAGGCCTATCCTGCCTGTTATTCAGTAATCTTTTCATGGTCCTATGTATACAGCATTGCGTTAGTGTCCAGAGCTTGTGATGCTATAACTCTGAGCACATGAGTATGTGGCTTCCAGGTTTTCAGCATGGCTGTTAGTGTCTGGCAGGATCTGACATGTGCTGTTTAATCACATCATTATCTTCAGTTTCATCTGTGTTTGTAAGGTTGGATCATGTGTCAATTACCTAACCTCCTTCCCAGGTCCTGATCAGGTGCTGATCAGCAGACGTGAAGCTGCTGATGCAGTGCGTTTTTGACGTGTTTTTGATGCGTTTTCGGTCCGGATGCTGACAGTTAATTTTTTGTCAATGTTGATGACATCATAATAAGTGGAGTAAGAATACAATTTTTTCTTTTTTTCCCCCTCTTAGCTGCATTGCGTTGCGTTTTCGTTGCGTTTCAAGGCCGTTTCCGGACCGGACAAAATGTGACATGCAGTATTTTTTCTGTCGTAAGCTGAACGGACTGCGCACGTGAGAACTGGAGCCCATAAAACACATAGGGATACATTGGGATGCATTTTGAGTGCAGCAGCGTACGGAGCCGGTCAGAACACAAAACGGACGTCGTGTGAACAGGCCCTTACACTTACTTTATAAACTGTCTGATGCCTTACACAGTGGTGATGTACTTTATGAACTATCAATTACTAGCCCAGTAATGGCACTTACTGGCCAGGGCAGTCCATACTTGGCCTAAGAACAGAGACTGACCTTTTGGCTGGCAATAAGGTCTCATGGGCATGGTAGTTCTGAACAAATTGACATCAGCAGTGACTTCATAGTGAGGCTGCTATGGATATGCTGCATTGCTCATCCCAAACTGCAATTGCCTTGAGTTGGTACAGATCTCGCCACACACACACACACACACACACACACACACACAAATATCTAATGTCACAGGGATGGAAGAATTCACAATCCTCCTTTCTTTGAAACAAACCAAGATTACTCCCTCCCAAGAAAAGCAAAAGTCCTTGAGGGTACCTCTTGTTGGTTATGTGTTCAGATGAAACACTGAGATCTTGAGGAATGCTGAACTAAGTTCTACTTGCTTAGGCCATTATATGAATGGATATAACATTGTGCAGAAAAATAACTTCTTGTGTATTACAGATAAGCATCCACACAGGGACCAGCATTCCACTACAGCACCATCTACAGCTCAAAAGACATCAGTACATTAGTTTATGCTGTTGCATTTCCAACACCTCTGACCAACTTGCCCAGTAGGTCTCAGGTTGTGGGAGCTTACAAAAGTTTGAGCATTTACTGTTCAGAGTATATGCTCATGGGTCCTGTTAAGAGTTCAAGACGAACATTGTCAGGTTTTTCTTCTCATCTTTCAGTCCATTCATTACCATCAGGTTCCTTGGTTCAAGCAAAACCTTAGGTTATAAGTACACACGTGTCGCATAATCTTTTCCAGTCCAAAGATATCAAGCGTTTTTCCTCTAATTTTCCTAGTGGGACAACTAGGAGGCTTAAGACTAGTCTTGGTTTGAACTCTTTAAACAGATGGATCAGGATCCAAATATTGCATGTGGAATCACTATATTCATCACTTAAGGCATCAACAGGCTTTAGGATGCTGTGCCTGGCAGATGTGTATTCACATACCTGCGCATCTGTACTTCATCGAATGTCTTGCTTACCATTCTAAAGTTCCACTTTTTTGGTTTGTTTACCTGCCCTTTGGACTTGCCACAATCCTAGGTCATTTTCCAAATATTACATCTAGTCACATCCTTCTGGAGTGAACAAGCATGCCAGCTATTGCAGCGACATCCTGCTGATAGTTCAGCATGCTCATACTCTGGCAGTCCATGAAACCATCCTAAGTTAGGCTCTGATCAAATAAGAAGCGATTGCCAAGGGGGAAAGCCAAGTGGTCTAGTGCTTGCTGAGGTAGACTATGTCTCTATTCTACCCCTTGGCATCCCAAGTTGACAGGACAACTCCTTGGTGTCTCAGGTTGCCAGGATCAATTCAACTGGTGACACTGGACTTCTTGGCCGCTAAGAGTCTTCCAACAGGGTTCTTCAGACGAAAGAGAAAACATTCCCTGTGGCTTTGGTTCTGGATGATTCCAAATATGAGATTCTTGGTTGTGGCTGAAGCCGGCAAGCCTATTTCAGCTCCTATTATGTCCCTATCCAGTGATCGTGTTAATAATAGATTCCTTTGCGCAAATCACTTCAACAGCCCTTTGGTTAAAGGTCAGTGACAGTCCATCAAGAGGAAAATGTCTTCAGCATCTTGGAGTTCGAGAGCCGTTCAGATCCAAGGAACCTCCGTATTAGTTCAATGAACAACTGAATTATGTTTTTTCCATAGATGTAGCGTCTGCCCATAGGTGTAGGAACTGCTCACTGCTAATGGAGGTACCTCCAAAAAAAAAGGGATTCAGCGCTGAACTCCCCAGCATTTCCTGGCTGACACTATAAGCCACAAAGCTCTGGACGGCAATTAATGTTTTCCTTTCCAGCAGGTTCCTGTGGATCAGCAGCAAGTGAGTTATCCAGATCTCATCTTGATGGTAATCCCTAAGAGCACAGAGTGCAAACACTCCTTGTCAAGAGAACATTCTAAGGAAGTAGAAATGGATAATGGAGTAATGGATATTCTATTGCATATATGTTTCCTCAGTCCAAATGGATTCAGGTTCCTAAATGGCACCCACAATTATCCAGGTAGGGTGATGGCAAGCATTTGCTTGTGGCCCATCTGTCCAGGGTTCAGTTTCTTGTAGTCTCTGAGCACTCTGCATGCACTAGGTCACATTCATTGTGCCTGGCCAAGCAGATGGAGCCACAGATTAATCTCTGGGTCCGCTCTTCCGCAGACCGTCATCCCTACGTATAGAATTCAGTGATGTACCTCCAGAGTTATTCTGGAAGTAAATACAAAATAAATATTTTAAATTTTTTTAAAAGGTTAGAAAAAAAATATTTTCGTTTTCAACCTTACTTTTTTTATTTTCGGTTTAAAATTTTGATTTGTATGCACCTCTAATTAGCAGCCAATGTCAATATGTCCCAGTACATAATGAATTGTGCATACGTCAAAAAAAATAAAACCACGGCATTTCATAGGATGCGGGAAACTTGTATCTGCATTAGGCAACCACTATCACAGTCAATGCCAGGTATAATGAACAACATAGATAGCCTCAGTCATAGATTTTCATAATGATGTGCTATATCATCCATGTTGGTAAAAAATATGGTTTCAACACATATAGGCTCTTCTCATAATGTACATGTGGCAATGGTAACAATTCAGATGCACATTTGCCTGGTTTGCTTTTATTACGGTGTAAGTGGCACTTATGAAAAGTTCACAATCCAACCAGATGACTGTAGGCTGTTACAATATGTTGTCCACTGCACAAAGGAATGGGGAATTTCAGCATCATATCAGGAGACACTATGCGTACTCCCTGATCCCCAGAACAGAGCTTCCTCAGAGGGGTGTGGTCTGCTATGCATTACCCTCCTCCTATTGATAGTGCTTGTCAAAACACACTACTCGATGACCACATCAGTCTAAGAGGAAATCCCATCTACACTCAGCATTGCTGCATTCATGTCCTAAGAACCTTTGTACAAAACGTATCAATACTTGCAGTGGGGCACCACACTCAGAGGAAAGCAAAATCTGATCATAAAGCTAAAATATTATCCTAATAAAGCTGTTCTTGTATCCTAGATTTTCTTTTTTGCCCATTTAAAGACCTGTGTCATTTGGTTTCCACATTCCAATACAAGTCTATAGAAATGCAAAAAAAGCTTGTCAGTGAATTTTGAAAGTTTTAAGAAGCATCTCAAACAGATGCTTTAAATGCCCACAGACCAGCAACACAGGCCTTAATTCTGCTTATTTAATCTTTAATGCATAGGTCTCTTAACAGAGATTCATACCAACCAGGAAGTATAGAAAACGTTTACTTGTAAAGACTATCTACAAAAGGGGTCTCTTGAATTTTACAATAGTCAGCCAGCAGACCAATTTTAAAACTTGTCAACAGCTAATTTCTTCAACAGCTGTTGCCTAAAGATTATTGCTCAAGTCTTTTGTGGACCATAGACACCAGAATCAGAATGTATTTCAACATACTGTATGTGCTATTAAATGGGCAATTTTAAACAAAAAATAAAATAAATCAACAATAACACTGCACCGATAACAGAATTATGGAGCAGAACAGAATAGGGAGTACAAAATGTGGGCACACATGACAGCATGACTATGACATCCTGTTCAACCCAACAGATGCACTTGTACACTAACCTGTTGTTATGGCGAAATAAGTAATCTAACACCACAAACAACCCTTTCAAAACCATTTGTGTTGGCGAGCTCAGTACTGGCACTTTCACTACAGTTTCCTGGCCATTCAGCATTGTTGTCTTCTCTTCTTTCTCAACCACAGCAGCAAGATTACCCTACAGAAAAATAAAAAAACAGAGTAGCATTTTCTGTTATTATGCAAACAATAGCTACATTAACAGAAAAACATGGAATTAAACTTAGAAGAAGCAAAAACAGGGATAAAATTTATATCAACATAAAGATACCATAAAAACTGTAAAACTACAAGGCACTTAAATAATTAAATACCTATGAGGATGTTTTTTAATTATATTTTAAAAGGAACACTTTTTAAGTTTTAACTGTAGCATCTGTTTCTGTAGTATATGTATTAGGGATGTCCCAATACCACTTTTTTAAGACCAAGTACAAGTACTGTCCCTCATGTACTTGCTGATACCAATTACCGATACTTTTTCATAAAGGGACATGACATTTTTTTATAAAACAACGCAGACTGATGATTTTAGGGGAGTTTCTCACCAGGGCTAAATACGGATGTCACCAGAACTGAACACATGTCCCTAAGGCACAATAGTATTCTGCTTTGGGGACATGTATTCTGCTTTGGGAACATGTGTTCTGCGAATACATGTCCCCAAAGCAGAATTCCTCTCACCAGGCTGCATGTCGACCCCACCCGGGCGACGTGGACATCTGCAGTGGCTCTGCGGGCACCCTAGCTAACCGGCGATGTCGCACATTTAGTCCGGCCCAGTCCTCCCCATCAGTGTGCGGTAAGAACCCCCAGCTTCTAGCCCTGGGGCAGTAGTTCCGCCCCTGGGGCTGTCCATGGCTGTGCCGGGAAGGAGGAGGAGATAAGGACCCGGACAGGCACTGCCATGGACAGCTATGTGCAGATCGCCAGCAGGCTGCCGAGGTCCCCACAAGCACAGGAACTCAGCAGCCGCTGCTTTTTGACAATTTAAAGGGTGGGTATCGGCCTTAAGAATCGGGGCATTTTCACAAGTACTCGTGAAAATGCCTGGTATCGGGAGATCCCTAAAATGTATACATTATTGGTTCAATATATAAACATTTATTCAATGACAAAAAAAATGATATGATCACTATGGATATCTAAAGAGAGCACGGATGTAGCAGTCTGCCTCACAGCTGGCTTTCTGAATGAAACTTTCACTAAGATTCCTGATAAGAGATAAGCCACTGGGACTTCAGTTCTATGCATAAAATACAGCTTGATCTACTAATCTCTATAAAAAAAAACAGGTGTATAATGTCCCTGAAGAATTACTAAAACTGAAAATGTTATACTAGTTTTGAATCAATGATGTGTTTGGATTTACCGGAAATGGATAATCCAAAACTGATATCAATTTGTTGGATGGGAGATTTGATCTTTCTGGGATGCCAATGGAGTTTCTCTTCCCTACCTTTCAGCACGGTCATTCCTATTTCATCTGACTTCAGGCCAAGTAAGTGTAAAGCTCGCCATACACCTATAGATTATTTGCAGATTTTCGATGGTCAGATGTAAAAAGTGCATTCCTCCATCTGTGCTAAACTGTGTGGATGGAGGAATCTCCTACTGGGCCAAACTTCAGTATCTTGCTAGTCGGCCCCGCTGGCTTTCAAAATACCTGAATAATCTGATTGGATGCAGGCATTTGTTCAGGTATTTTGACAGCCAGTGGGGCCGACTAGCAAGATACTGAAGCTTGGCCCAATAGGAGATTCCGCCATCCACAGAAGGAAGCTATTGCACTTTTTCCATCTGACCATAGAAAATCTGCAGAAAATGTATAGGTGTATGGCCAGCATTAAGCTAGCCTCCTTCCCTCTACAAAAAAAACAAAAAAAAAACCACACAAGTTCCCCACTCATCTGAAGCCAAACATAATAATAAGATATCAGAGTGGGTTGGCAGCATTGGAGTCCTGGCAAGATATACAAACCATCAGAGCACCCAAAGGCATCCATCTTATGCTGCAATCTGTTTAGGTTGTTATCTGTTTTGCAATGTCTGTGCATACAAAATCATTCTATTCTACTGGGGATAACCATCACAGTCACTTTACTTTCTTTTAAAATAGTACATTTGGTGGATTTGATTGGCATCAACAGATAATAGCCAAATGTATTCACAATACTTATGTATTCACAAATCTTTGGTAAAAAACATACAATTTTATAAATCATGTTGCACAGCTTGAATAATAATACGTTTAATAAACCTACCTTAAGCATAGGAAATGTTGCATTTGTTATTCCCATATCGTGGAAAATTGAAATAATCTCATTACCATTCCACACTTTACAAGATGATTCATATTCCCTTTCCACCAAATGGCTGGCACATTCCCTTATCCAACTTGAAATATACAAAATGTACATTATGTAAGATACTATATATAGAATAACACGGGAGTATCAAAAAGCACATGTGATGTGATATATTAAGTGACCCCTTCGCTTAGTATTCCTCAAAACTTAATCCTGCTATACCCAAAAATCTGACCTGTCAAATTTTTTCTTTACATTTAAATTTACATTACCTAAAAATAAATCTAACTCATAAGTTGAGCTCTTAAATACTATAAGTTAATCTCTATTTGAGTCCTAAACATTTATCTCCCCCTAACACTTAATTAAGCACTGAACCCCTAAGCTTAATTCTTACCTGACTTTTAAATATACCATTACCACTTATTAAGTGCTATTCTGCTGCATACTGTGCTGCTTCCAAGCCTCTCAGCAGGCAGCATGCTGAAAATGAGCAGTGCCACAATTCTGTCACCAAAAGAAACATCTTTGCTTATATGTGTCCTGATCATGCCTCTTTAAGGACAAAATAAATACCACAAGCATCACTATCACATAATAGCTAAAACATTTGATAAAACAATGGAGCTCTAAGCATCATTTTATGGCAGTGTCAATTTAGTCGACTAAAATGTTTTGTCATAGTTTTCGCCATCTGCATGTTTTCACTGTTGAAAACTAAATAAAAACTAAGTTAACAGGACTAAAACTATGACGAAAATGCATTGCAATTTTCTCTACTGGAGATTTAGTTGGCACAACTAAACTAAAACTAGAACTCAGATGACTAAAATACACATTTTAGTTTTAGTCGCATTTTAGTCATCTGAATTATTTTAGTTTTAGTTTTGTAGATTAAATCTCCAGTAGAGACAATTACAATGCATTTTTGTCATAGTTTTAGTCCTATTAAACTTTTTATTTTAGTTTTCATCAGTGAAAACATGCAGATACTTTCAAAGCTATTCTCTGTCTAACAATTATGCCACGCCCCCATGTAATGGAAATGAAAAATGGAATACATGTTTATAGTCTATTTGGACAACCATGGCTCCCACCATAGATACAGTGGAGTGAGTGATCATTGTAATAATTCAACAGAAAGTATGCAATGTACAGGATTACCTAGATACAGTGGAGTGAGTGAGCATTTTAATAATACAACGGGAAGTATGCAATTTACAGGATTACCTAGATACAGTGGAGTGAGCATTGTAATAATACAACAGGAAGTATGCAATTTACAGGATTACCAGAAAAAAAATAATAATAATGCGTTCGCCACATCTAAGGACTGGTAAGCTGCAATATGTTCAATTTTTTGGTGGGATTTACATATGCTTTAAGCTTACTACATTTTAATTATTATTATAAAAATATAATTTTACACATTGCAGCCTAGAAGGAGAAGACTCACTAGATACTAACGATACACAGTTTTGTCACTGTTATTAATAATTAGAAACCTTTCAACATTATTTGATGTGCTGAGCAATAAAAACTTCCGCTTGACAAAGATTTTAGCATAATTTTTACAATAACAATTGTACTTACATTTTTGTAAACAAAAACTTTTAGCATCATGCCGTGGTTTCCAACATAAACTAAACAAGCTAGTCACTTGAACAGCCACCACCCTCACTCCTAATCACAATTTACAGGTCAGATTTACTGCTGTTTTCATATAGTCTATGAATAATTATAAAAACACCACAAGCTAAACTGCCCATTATATAAGAAGATAAGAAGGGAATTAACATCATTGCACATTTACTCCACAGCAGACAATGGACTGCTGGCAATTTTAGCATACCTGCCTACTTGGGAACTTGAGAAAGAGGCGCACGTTGGAACGTAGAAGATATGGGGTGCGTTTTGTGCTGAAAATGGCCGTGACTATATTGCGCTGGATATTGGGTGTAACTGAACCCAGTTCACTGCCACTGATGTGAGCCATACAGCGGAAGAGAACCGCTTCTAGCTGGTCAGGTCAGCATGCCTTGCATTGGCTGCATTCACCCATCTGCCATAAGCTCATGGTGGTTTCCAGTGTACGTCTAAAACCAAAGTGTATTTTGTTTGGACAGAGTGTTAGAAGTTTTGAGTTGGCACCAGAAAAGGAGTAGAGTGGAAACCTACCAATGGGGACACCTGGCAACACTCTCTACAAGGAGATTTGAGTCACTTTGAATTGATTTCTACTCACTTCCTGTTTTGTTTACAGGACAGGAAGAGTAGGTAAATCTTCTGGAGGGTAAACAGATAACAAAAAAAACAACTAACAAGGGGTTTTAGCCATTTCCTACTCTATGCAAAATGGTTTTAGATATACTTTAAATACAAGCTATATAAATAAGATAGCATATTGGCCTTTCTAATATGTTTACAGACTTTAACAGCTTATTCAGGCTACAATGTCGCAACTGTACTAACTGCATGTCTTATGAATTAGCATAATTGAACAAAAAGCAACCAATCGAAAAAAAAAAATTCTTATGAGTTTGATCACATGCAATTCAAAAACAATTAGTTGCTATATGGTACTGCATTTACTCAATAAAATTCCTGATCTTTATCCAACTTTCCATATGTAATTTGTAAACTAATATACAGGCATATACAGCTGGTAAAAAGTACAATACTTTTACATAAATGAGCGTACTTTGTCAGATTGTAGCACACTCCCCGAAGAGGCTCATGATCACTTGCTCTGATCCTATGGTTCACCATGCTGTCCAACTCATCTCGGGCAAACATCAGCTGTGCATCTGTCACACTAAAGCTGGCAGATTCTCTGGCACAGTCCTCAATGTTGTGGGCTTCATCAAGGATTACCACCTGGTCTTGCAAACATATTTCCATCTAGGAAATATGATATAACTGAATCAGTGAGTGACACAGAAAAGTTCAACAGTAAGATCAATAAAAATTTTATTCAGGTAACTCAATAATTAGTGGAGACCAAGTTTGTATGCAACAAAACAAGGATTTACTATAACTTCAAGTCCCATGCTGCCACTGATAAATTAGTGTTGGGCTGGTTCTAGTTTAGTTTTAGGGCCTGTATCAGTGGGTTTTTATTCACGTCAGATGGGTTTTGTATTCTCATACATGTCTATGGGAATACAAAGCCCACTTAAAAACAAGTCAAATGCAAGTTAGAAGGAGATCAACAGCAGGCATAATGCACCTCTCAAATTCTGCATGACCTCAGAAGCATCTAAAACTGGTTCCAAACTTATGAACAAAAAAACGAATTGCCCTTTTTAATTACCTAGCAGCACGGTTACCTGGCACTCCAGTTGCGAGCCTTCTCTCCTTCTGTTTACAGAAGGTAGTATCCTTTTTAGGGTGCCCAATAACTGCCTGCGTTATGTGAACACTTCCTATTGGTTGTCCAGCCATGGGGTATTCTCAGGATCCAGAGCAGGAGTGTGCAGCTGTGACTTCAGCAGCTGGGAACCTTGGTGGCGTGGGCACAACTACAGCACTGGATTAGCGCACCCCCACTCCAGCACCCAGAAACTACACTGGCAAGGGACCCAGATGACAGACTTAAAGTATATCTTTCTTCACAAGGTAAGAAAAAAAGTGTTAATAGTTGCCTGTAGATAGGCTTTTAACATTTTTGAACTTCAACAGTGAAATCTGTAATGAAGTAACAATAACAATACTTATTTATATTGTCCTTTATTTTTGTTTTCTGGGTTACTAAAGGGGGATGGGGGTCTGCTATTATATTGCTCTACAGCAAGGGTATACACATTAACATGGAAATCAGGAGCCAGTCTGTTCAATCCAGGTGCCAGCTCCACAGACAACTAGAGAAAACCTCAAAAGCTCAGCGCCAGTTATAATTTTTAAGCAGCACTGGCTACTTAACTCATGTGATTTGTCCAGCCCTGCTGTACAGTGATTGTACTTTGCTGACCTATTCCTTAAGCAAATCTACCAAAGTATGTCTAATTGAAAACAATACATTCAAATCTGTCTAAGAAATAACCACAATGCTCTCGTTAGCATAAGACCAAGGCCTAGGCTTTAGGGTATAAGGGAGCTCAAGAACAAGTTGTTTTTTTATGCTGCAGGTGAAAAAGATGTACTTTTTAATTTGAAATAATAATGCTTTGCACAAATGTTTACATGTGCCTCACTGATTCATGTTAAATGCAGACTTTAATTTTAGGTCTGCTTTGAACCTAAGATGCAGATTTCACACAATTTTATGTATAAATTAATGTTAATTATCACCAAACTCTCCTCTACACTATCTCATAAATTTTTAGCTGAGAGGTGATAGATCAGTAGTGCAGGAAGTTCTGTGAACTGCACTACTGAAACATGCAAAGGGCTAGCATGACCTGTTTCAAGACACTAAACTGGCAGCAAGAGAAATGTGTTGCTTGTGTCAGTGGTATTTCTTGAAGTGTACAGCTTGGTTTAAATGTATGGGAAGATAAACTGACTGCCTCAACCTAAACTACAAAATGAAACACCATTTAAACCAATTATGTATATATTAAAAATCACTAATTGTTTGCGCCACTCCCACTCTCGATTCCTGGGTTTTTGCAGAGTAGCAGCAGGGCTTGTGGCTTTGGCAATGTAGCAGTCGAAGACTCCAAAGTGTGGACATGCACAGTTGATGGCTCTTTCTTGAAAGCACTGTCTATTACCCCATGCCCCACTCTGCATGCTATGCTACATACTCTAAGCCACTGCTTTATTTATGCTGTACTCTGTGTTGCAAGTTCCAGATCGCTGCACCCTGCTGTACATTACATACTTTAGGGCACTGCTCTCTATGCACTGTGCTGAACATTACATACTATGAGACCTGTTAGGGTTGAGTCATTAGTAATGGCATTTCAAAATCAAGTACTTACACTTTCTCTTATCTGTGAGTCCAAAAGATAGTTGTAAGGACAGAACACAATGTCAGCTTCTTTCATTAGTTCACGAGCTGCATAGTAAGCACAGGCACGAAGCCTCTTCCCCAGGCCTACCAGCTCTTCTATGTCCCAAGCTTGCGTTACACCAAGCCTATATTGTAGAACATTCTGCTCACTCATTTTTGGAGCTCCATAATAGTAACGACAAGAAGATCCCTAAAGTAAAAAGAAAAGAAAAAAATGCAAATCAGAACTTACATTTTACATGTTTCCTTTTTGTTGTTTAACCCTTTCGCTGCTAAGCCCCCCGAAACACTTTAAACTTTAGCTGGCCAAACCATTTTTGCTATTTTTCCCATTGCTTTAATTCTCTACTGCTGCGTTGCTAGTGTTTGCACAAGACCCCCCCAAACCATATATTTTCTGAAAGCACAGGCCCAGTAGAATAAAAAGGTGGTGCTACTAATTTTGTAGGTCCTGCGATAATTGTGCAAATGTTTGTCAAATCAATATTAAACCGATAAAAATACACAATTAAGTTGATAAAAGCACACTAAAATCAGTATCAGTGCACACAAAAATATTTTTTTGACTAAATCTAAAAACCAAAACTGTATCGAGTTAATAAATAACAAATATGAGTAGATTTTAAATTGTGTCTTTTTGCAAAACGGTAAAAAAATGGATGCAGGTGTACATTTAATTGCAACAAATCATATTACAACACGCGGCAATGCGTCACAACGCTTTGCTACGCGCTTCCACCGTTAAATTAATGTTATTTTGAAGAAAAAAATCAAGAACTACGATGCGTTCTAACAACGCACCGCAGCACATGTCCATGGCATACCTGTTGCACGTGTATAATGTTTGTGCGTGGAGAGTATGGTGTTTAATTGTTTATTTACTTTATTTTTTTACTGTTGGGGGGGCTTCGGGGAAATATCAGGGGTCTAAACAGACCATTGACATTTCCCTTTTGAAATAGAAAAAGAAATTGAGGACACAGAGTCCTCAATTGTTTTTTCTGCAGCCCCTGTTCTAAATGAATGGAAAGTACAGAGGCTTCCCATCCATTCAGAAACTGGTGATAGTAAAATATTTACTATTATCCGGTTATGAATGGCTAGAAGCTTCTGTAGCGAGTGCTACTACCCATTGAGAAAGTCATGAAAGAACAGGAATTGATGTGAAGCACTTCCTGTTCATACATAACTCGAGACACATAGTACTCTGTGTCCTCAGTTGTTTACAAACATTAGAGTGCTCACCTAATCACTCCAGTGTTTGCTCTGCACATAGAGTATCGGTAAATACCACAGATATTTAGCGATCCTCTGCTCGGCCACACGCAGACGCTGTCATCCTGAAACTGACAGGATGACAGTGTGTCTCCTCCCCGCTTGGCTGCGGCTTCTCTCTAATTACCGCTGGATGACAGCACTCCTTCCTCCTCCTCGCCGGCTTCAAGGTGTACATTTAATTGCAACAAATCATATTACAACACGCGGCAATGCGTCACAACGCTTTGCTACGCGCTTCCACCGTTAAATTAATGTTATTTTGAAGAAAAAAATCAAGAACTACGATGCGTTCTAACAACGCACCGCAGCACATGTCCATGGCATACCTGTTGCACGTGTATAATGTTTGTGCGTGGAGAGTATGGTGTTTAATTTTTTATTTACTTTAATTTTTTACTGTTGGGGGGGCTTCGGGGAAATATCAGGGGTCTAAACAGACCATTGACATTTCCCTTTTGAAATAGACAAAGAAATTGAGGACACAGAGTCCTCAATTGTTTTTTCTGCAGCCCCTGTTCTAAATGAATGGAAAGTACAGAGGCTTCCCATCCATTCAGAAACTGGTGATAGTAAAATATTTACTATTATCCGGTTATGAATGGCTAGAAGCTTCTGTAGCGAGTGCTACTACCCATTGAGAAAGTCATGAAAGAACAGGAATTGATGTGAAGCACTTCCTGTTCATACATAACTCGAGACACATAGTACTCTGTGTCCTCAGTTGTTTACAAACATTAGAGTGCTCACCTAATCACTCCAGTGTTTGCTCTGCACATAGAGTATCGGTAAATACCACAGATATTTAGCGATCCTCTGCTCGGCCACACGCAGACGCTGTCATCCTGAAACTGACAGGATGACAGTGTGTCTCCTCCCCGCTTGGCTGCGGCTTCTCTCTAATTACCGCTGGATGACAGCACTCCTTCCTCCTCCTCGCCGGCTTCAGCTGTCATTTTCTCCTCGTATCCCCGCTGCCTCAGCCCATACAGGCGGGGGAAAGCAGGGGGGATTAGAGGAGAAGGATGAAGAGGGCAGAAGAGGCTGCAGATGCCGGCGGCACCGGCGGGCAACCCAGATTTTTGGTTAATAGCTCTCATTGGCAGCTTGTCAGCCGCTGATGTGACAGCTATTATTTTAAAGGGGACCGTCGGGGGGACTGTTCTGATCTAAGTTTATGGTCACTAAAGAGACCATGAGCTTATAGCAGAAGGGAGAGAGCCATCGACATAAGGCTTACTGACGTGGCCAGCTGGAAACAGTTGTGTTCCGCTGTAAGCCTTACGTCGGTGGCAGTGAAAATATGTGCGCTTGCGGTTTCTTTTTTGATTGTAACTGAAGGCAAAAGTTTACAAATCAGCTTCCTACAACTCCTGTAAAATCTCCAATTGGTCATAAAGAGAGTCACAGATATATGGGACTGGACTGTGTGTAAGGGCTAGAATACATTCTAAAACTCACAGATCCAGAATATTTAATTCGAAAACCTTTAAATCTTCCTACAGGGCACAATATGTAAGAAGCATTCATTTTTCTTCCAAGTAGTGTACCAGCAAGCAAAAAGCAGTCATGAAAATAATTATTCCTTATGCATATACACTACTGGTCAAAAGTTATAGAACACCCTCATTTTTCCAGTTTATATTAACCAGTTGACATCCGCGGTGTTAAACCCCCTTCCCATCCAGGCCATTTTTCAGTATTCAGCGCAAGCAGTTCATGTCTAGTGAATAACCTGAAATGGTACAAATGTAAGCGGTAAACTGCCAGAGGTAAAAAAGAATAAAAAGAAGTAGTCTAGGTTAACAAAAACTGAAAAATAATGTACATTTCAGAGTTAACAAAAAGGCAATTTTCAGGGAAGAAGTAATGGGTTAACTCACATATGTTCTGCAGCAATGTAAGTAAATTAAGCCTTGAACATTTGTGCTACCAATTCCTACAGGTGTCCCAACTTTTGTGGATTACTGACAAGCCCTCTGCCTGTACAAAAGCACTGTTGAAACAGACTGTTACTACACCCTCTTAAGCAATATTTGGACAGTATTGTACTGCAAAAAGTAGTATATTGCTCTCAAAATGGCAAGAAAAAGGCAATTAACAAAGGAAGACCATTATAACCCGTAAAGGGGAGGTCTTTTCTTTAGAGAAATTGCAAAGAAACCAAAGTGTCAATGAGTACAGTTTCCTACACCATCAAAAGGCATTTGGAAACTCTAGCAGGAAGAGGTCTGGCAGGCCCAAAGCCACAACGGAATCAGAAGACAAGTTTCTGAGAGTCAACAGCTTGAGTGACCGGTATTTTACAGGACAACAGCTCCAAGCACTGATCGCAGTAAGCAAGTCTCAGTTTTAACGTCGGGTTTGACAGGTCGAATGGCAAAAAGAAAGCCATTGCTAAGACGCAAAATAAGAAAAAGAGGCTTGCCTGGGCAATGAAGCACCGCCAGTGGACTACCAAAAACTGTAAGAAGGTCTTATGGACCGATTAATTAAAATTTGAGATCTTTGGTTCATCATGCAGGGTTTTTGTATGAAGTCAAGTAGTCAAAAGGATCGTTCCTTGGTGTGTGACACCAACTGTCAAACATGGAGGAAGCATAATGGTCTGGGGCTCTTTTGCTGGATCCAGAGTCAGCAACTTGCACAGAGTGAGTGGCTCCCTGAACTAAAACTACTACCACAGCATTTTGCAGCGCCATGTTGGTGTACGCCAAGTTGGTCAGGGGTTCATCCTACAGCAAGATAATGACCCAACATATAACTCCAGAAAGTGTCACAACTACCTTAGAAGAAAAAAATAAGACGGTAGGCTTCAAATTATGTAATGGCCAGAACAGTTTCCAGACTTACACCCCATCAAGCTGGTTTGGGATGAACTGGACAGAATGATTAGAGCAAAGCAATCTACAGGTGCAATACATTTGTGGGAACTTCTGCAACAGTGTTGAGAAGAACATTCCGAACAATATTTGATTTCTATTGTAAAAAGACTGCCCCGAGTTCGGCTGTTATATCTGCAAAAATGGCTACTTTGATGAGTCAAAAATTTAGATTACATTTTTGATAAATAAATTATTCCATTATTTCTTTTGAATGTCCAATTGTCCTATGCTTTATTTTCGGAGTACATTGAGACATTAAACTGTGTATATTTCAATAAAAACTGGAAAAAAAGGTGGGTCTTTTTTTCTGTGGAGTGATCCTTTAACTAGAAAAAACTGCCAGAGGTAAAAAAGAATAAAAAGAAGTAGTCTAGGTTAACAAAAACTGAAAAATAATGTACATTTCAGAGTTAACAAAAAGGCAATTTTCAGGGAAGAAGTAATGGGTTAACTCACATATGTTCTGCAGCAATGTAAGTAAATTAAGCCTTGAACATTTGTGCTACCAATTCCTACAGGTGTCCCAACTTTAAAATTTGAGATCTTTGGTTCATCATGCAGGGTTTTTGTATGAAGTCAAGTAGTCAAAAGGATCGTTCCTTGGTGTGTGACACCAACTGTCAAACATGGAGGAAGCATAATGGTCTGGGGCTCTTTTGCTGGATCCAGAGTCAGCAACTTGCACAGAGTGAGTGGCTCCCTGAACTAAAACTACTACCACAGCATTTTGCAGCGCCATGTTGGTGTACGCCAAGTTGGTCAGGGGTTCATCCTACAGCAAGATAATGACCCAACATATAACTCCAGAAAGTGTCACAACTACCTTAGAAGAAAAAAATAAGACGGTAGGCTTCAAATTATGTAATGGCCAGAACAGTTTCCAGACTTACACCCCATCAAGCTGGTTTGGGATGAACTGGACAGAATGATTAGAGCAAAACAATCTACAGGTGCAATACATTTGTGGGAACTTCTGCAACAGTGTTGAGAAGAACATTCCGAACAATATTTGATTTCTATTGTAAAAAGA